TTTCATTCATTTTTCTGTTTAATTCAATTCTATCTTTTCAGCTGCTCGATAAGAAACTAACATCGAAAGCGGTGTAGTGAAAATCTGCTCGCTGTGGAACCGCTTTTGGCAGCTGCCAGCAGAGACACAATCTGTCGACATCGCAACAGTTGCGCAGTGCAATTGCAATCTAGTTTCTTGTGTGCTGTTGAACTGTAGGATCTTTTTCTTCCTTTGCTGTTATTATTATTTTAAAACTTGTCATCTTCGTTTTAAAAAACAAAAGAAAATTCATAATTTTCTTTATTTTTGGATTTTATACTTACGCTGTCAATCTAGAAATTAATGAATGCATACAAGTCTGCCATACGAAAAATATACTGATGGCTAGGGATGCGATCCTGATTGATTCCACGTTAAGTGTACAAAAGAGATTGGAAACCCAGCTAGAGCAACTGCATCTTAGATCAATTTTCTCTACTTTTAACCTCTGACAAACCCGTGGTTTCAGTGCACCAGTGACGATATCGTCTAGAACGTTTTAAAAAAAACAAGACACATTGAGAAACAAGTTAAGCTCAAAATTAAATAGGAGTTCGGAGATACTTGACAAGTCATTGTGTTTCCTACCCTGTTAAAGGTTACGATCGATCACCTCCCCATCGATCATAACAATACCATTCATAACACTAAAAGTGTAGCAATGCCACGCTTTCCTACCAGCAGTGTTTTTAATAGGAATTTTAAGCAAAATGGGTTTCCACAATTTACCACTGCATTTTCCGTGTTTTCCCTGCTAAAAACAACGTGGAAATCGAATTTTCAAAGTGGAAACCCATTTTGTTCAAGCGAGACCCACTAATCATTAAAAACACTGCCTACCAGGCATCAGTCTTAGAAAGTGTGTTATCATAACACTAAAAGTGTAGTAACGCCGCACTTTTATACAGGGAAAACGTCTGACATCCTGCAAGTTTTATCCAACCAATAGAAAAGCGATGTCACAATTTAAGTGTTATTTTTGATATCCCGAGTATGTCATTGTCACAGTAAAAGTGTGTCTTCATCGTCTTATTGATAGTTGTATTCTGGACGACAATGACACACTTTTACCGTGACTTTCTGATAGTTTTGCCGTTATTTTTTTACGGTGTATACTTGAAGAATAAACCACTGGCGATTACCACCAATCAAATTCTGTCATTATGTCTCTATTTCGTTCTTGCTCAAATGGAAGTTGCTGAATTCTGTGTCCAAAGTCCATCCAATACATTACTTTGATTAAGTAGTTTATCCAGCTATAAAATATGATTGTATTCAATTGTATTTCATAGAGGTTAAAACTTGATTGTAATGTCAATGAAAACCGAAGTGCAGACTAATTCAAAATCCACCAACGACGAGGAAGGAAAGTTAAAAGGGAAGTTAAGCGCAAGTGTGCGGTCAACTTTGTGCTTAACTTATCCTATCCATTTGTGTATAAATGGAATGAGGAGAAAATATCCAATACTGTAGAGTAGTGATCTCATCACAGTAAAACAGTGAGGATGCAATGGCTGGATTGGAAAAAACCGTTAGAATTGCGAAGTTGCTTTTCGTTGGTTAAACGTTTGTGACTAAGAATATCGAAATGCCCCTCATTGCTATCTGCCACTATTTATGGTAACAGTATGCCATGGATACTTTTATTTGCAATAAAATAAAACGAGTCGAATATACTTTGTCTATCTTTTAACGGAATAATTTTTGTAGGTTCTATAGTAAATACATTAATAAACATCTTTTTGTTAAAAGAAGTTTACGAATCAGAGAAAGAGCATAGATTCAACTTATTTTTGTTTATCTTACGTAGAAAAAGAGTATGAGCTTAAGAAAGCATGCATAAAAGGGAGGAACTTTTTAAGACAACTCGAAGTTAACTCTGGCAAGATTACGAGGAAAAGTTAAGAGTGTTTGTCTGTTTGTCGTAATGAAACTCAAAATCTCACAGCTTTTTCTCTAGACTTAATCTGAATCATTTTTTAGTAAGTAATCAGATAATTTTTATTTTGGCCTTTTTTATGCTGGTCATGATTCTCAAAGTTTTTACATTGATTATAGTGCGTACGTCAGAATTTTGTTTCGTGTGTTGTCCTTTGAAGCAATTAAATTTAAAAGAAGCTATTTTTTTGTACAAATAGAAGTTAAGCATCACCCTTTTCCTTTGTTTATAAATCACTTCTTCCCACCTGAACTTTCATTCATACTATTTTAATTAACATGTAACGCAGGTATAGCAATTTTTTCCTTTTGCAAAGAAAAGTACTAATAAGACAAATCTAGAGATGTTAGCCGCGCCGCTGACGCAGCAAATTTTTTGCTAAAGACCGAGCAGCCGTCGAACGTCGAAATTTTTGAGGAAATAAACCCTACGCCCGCCGCCGATTGAAAATTTCTTTTGCGTTCTTCACGCCATTGACGAAGAATAGAAAAGTCTATCGGCTAACACCTCTAGACGGATTACAATTCATAGTCTATGTTAATGTGAGGGGAAAAATATCCTACAATTCATTGAGAGTAAGACTAAATTCCTTTTACAGCTAAAGATCTTATTGGTTCTATGAAGTATGGTGTCTTTTCTTAATTGGTTGAAGATACACTCGTTCTTCTCAGTAAATTTAGGACTTGTTAAAATCTTTGCTTTTTCCTCTGACTCTTGATCAACCATTATGCAACATTTATTTATTTATTTTAGATGGCAAGTAATAGTTCAAGTTTCTCTTCAGTGAATAACGATAATGATCAGACAGAAGAAAATCCAAGAAAATATTTACGCAGAGCGAGTGTGAGTATCCAATGTCGTTTGAGCCCAATGACAGTTTCTTGTTGTATATTTTACCTTTATAGGACACAAATATTAGTAGTAGTTACAGAGTGGTAAGTTTTTTAAATAACTGAAAATATCGGTTTAGATGGCAAGTAAAAAGATGAGAATGGTCAGCTGAGATCCGCATTTGATTTTGGAATAAATATCAGACACAGCTCACATATTAGGATAGAATACAGTGAAGGCGAAAGTTCAATACTTCCATCACCTTTTATCATTATATCCATAGGTGATAACCATTGCTGCAACAGGTCTTCTATTTCTAGACAACACGGTCTCGTGGACGTGCACTGAAAGGACAGCAACAACTCCAAGAACAACAAGCTGCTCAAACAACCGAATCAATGCAAGAAAATGATAGTTTGAAATCTGAACCTATTTGTTCAGTGACACCTCCACCACCTCTTCCACCTATTGATGAAAAGCCTGAACAATGTGCAGTATGTCTTGAGGAATTGAAAGAACAAAATGTTGGAATACCAGAAAATTGTGAACATTTATTTTGTCTAAAATGTATCCGTGAATGGTCTAGAGTGAGTATATTATAAAATCCCCTTTCTACGTTAGGATGATTAGTCTTGAACTCTTAGATGTCTCTTTCTTCCCTTTATTTTATGCTATGTGCTGTTTTCTAGAAAAATAACTCGTGTCCGATTGATCGTAAACCATTCCGTATGATATCAATAAAATCGAGCATTCATGACGAAATATCTGATACAGTATGTATTTAGTTGCTTATCTTTTTCTTTTGTAATGGAATCCATTCGTGTGTATTTAGTTAAAAGTTGAAGATGTTAGATTTCGTCGTCTTGATCAAGATGAAATGTTTGAAATGGTTGAAGTCGATGATATTATTGATGTTGCATGTAGAATATGCGGTAGGGATGACCAAGACAACTTATTGTTATTATGTGATGAATGCGGAAATGGGTGAGTATACGTTTTTAATACTACTAATAATTCAACTATCGGTATTTCTATCTTTTTTCTTTAGCTACCATACGTTTTGCGTTAATTTACCTCATGTACCAAACGGTGATTGGTTGTGTCCACTATGCGAAGTAGATCGAATTTCAGCAGATGACACGGTAACGGATAGCGAAGAAATGGATGAAGAAGAAGAAGAAGAAGACGAACACAATGATGATGGAAATGGTCGAAGGCTTGGTCTTCAGCAAGTATGTGCTCTAGTCTATAGTCAATCTTTTATTAAAGTATATTTTCAGTCGAAGTTTGATGGAGAAGTCTATTCTCTCTGAAGCTGATTGCTGTAATGGCTGATTTTTTTCCATTTAGTTATTGAATCGCTTTCTAGCTCAACCAACCCCTCCTCGTCGTTTAACGGCTCGAATGAGCACAGGAGGTCGTCGAACAGCTCGAGTAGGCACGGGTGGTCGTGTACCAGCTCCACCGCGACCAACGAGAAGACGAAGAGCTCGACGACGTCGAGTTCAGAGACAACGAGTGCCTGTTACTCCCGTTGCTGAACATCGACGACGTACAAGAAGACAAAGACAAGTCGCTACTAATGTTACACGAAGAGTACAAATGGCTAATGTAAGCATTTGTTTCAGATGAAAGTGAAAGTAGTTATTTTATGTCATAAATCTTGGGTAAACCATGGGGCATTTTCTAACCTTTTCCCTAAAAATGTTTGCTTGTGATAGTAAAAAATACATTCGTGCATGAAAACCTTACTTTTCTACAGTATACTTCACCAAATACACTTTAAGAAACGTGAGTGTTTCACAATTACACTGTTTTTTTAGACAACTGCAACAGATGGTTTACCAACTGCATCTATAACAAATATTCAACCAAATATTTCGCTTACAAGAACTTTAGCACCTTTATCGATTTTCGGCGGATATATGGATGTTCCACTGTAAGTCTGTTTTATAAACTTTGACCTTTTTCCTTTATTAACGTCTGAGGAACTCTTCATCACACATTTGATTTAATTTTTCAGCGAAGAAGAAGCACCAACATCGATCTCATCAAGTAGATCTGTTATACCTCAAAGGTAACTGCTCTGTCATTTCATTCTGATTAAATGACTATTTTATTTTCGTTTTTTCCATTCTAGTGAAGCTGCGCGTATTATTGCTGCTAGTGGTAGACCAATAGTCGCACGGTCGAATACAGAACCATTGACATCAACTTCTACAACAGTATCACTACCAAATACCCAACGTCCATCAGCTCCCCGTCGTTCTCTTACAACGGCTCGTGTGAGATCTGGAAATCGTCAAACACCAAACAGCACAGAATCAAGAGTAAGACAACGACCACCACCACCGCGAGAACCGATTGTAACTCAAGAAGTAATTCGATCGTTACCACGTATACAACGTTTACCAGGAAGCCAGCCAAGAACTCGTCCTACGCCATCCGCATCATCATCACCTTCTTCGAGTAGTCCTACAAGACAAACTAATCCCAACTTATTTATCGATTCACTATTGCAATCTCAACAACGTTTACATTCACTTCAAGATGTTTCATTAAGAGGGTAATGATAACTGATTATAGTTGATCGCTAAGAGTTATAAGATAGAAAATGCGACAGTTTTAGTATTACATAATAATATTAGTGCTCCTCCGTTTTAGACATTCTTTTTCACATAATAATTACTCAAAGATTTCAACAGTTTAGATTACATGCAGTTCATTTTTACTCAATGAATTTTCACTTTCCCTGACTATTGTTTATTGAATTATTATTCTTTATTTTAGGCCATATATTGTTATTTGAGTATGAGAAACAATGGTTGGGGAATATAAATGTGTTTAATGAATTAAAACTCACTTTTTTGCCGTCGTTATTTTATTTCATTTTTGTCTCTTTATAGTTTCTTTTTGTCTATGTTGTGTATAGTGTGGAGTGCATATGTATATGTATTTTATTTTCTTTCGGTGATATTTACGATTGAGTAAAAACGTACTACCACTATGTGTCTAAAACAAATGTTCGTTGTATTTCTTTTTTCAATGTGCTTTTTATCAACACGAATGAACAATTGGAGAAGAATTTTATTTTAAATTAAATTAGACAAAATGCATATTGCTATTAGGTAAGATCAATGGTCGTTTTATTCCTCTAGAGATAGAAAATACGGTTGTAAGTAGATCTACTATGCGTCGGTTAGAGTAAAAGAGAAAATCTTTTGTTTTCTGAAGTGGTTAAAACGATACATGTACCTCAGCCTTAAAGCATAGTTTATAAACATTATTTCATTGCCGAATTTTATAGTAGTATGATGTTTTGATTTCTTTTATCTATTTTAGTTAATCAATAAAGAAGAACAAACAATGGCTATCTGCAGTTCACATGCTGTTTTTGTTTATTCTTAGACTGTTAGCTGCAATTTTTTTTTTTTGTATATAACTTACTCTTACTCTATTATTTCTGCTTTCGTTGTTGTAAACAAAAACTATACTTTTTTCTATCATTCTCTCTAAATTTTCCTCTTTGTATGTACATGAAAAAGAATGGTAATTGATTTGTGTTTTTGAAGAAAAATAAAACATCCATATATTGACAATACATTCATGAAACAAATTATTCAGATTCAACGGTGACAGCGTTCTTATAGATATAGTCATATTTGTTCCATAATAACTATGTAGTATATCACAAGAAATCATACATTAAAAGATTTTGGTTACAAAAATAAGGACAATATTTTTATTTACTAAGATCAATTTCTTAGAGGTACAAAACTGGAATCAGTTTATCGTCGATTTTAGGTTGTATTTTAATAATAACTGTATTCATAGTTTAGTTAAATTCTTTTTCGTATATGAAAAAGTCTTATTATTAGACGCTGACAAAAAATCATGTTTAACAAATTGATGTCAAATTTATTTTAGAAAAGATATGTAAAAAACAATGATTATTTTGTGACAAGAATAAATCAAAAGAGCATGAATTTTTTTTCTTCGAAGAAGACCGAAAAATATTAAAAAATGTTTCTGATACTTTTAACTAGTGAAAAATTATAAACGATATCTGTTTTTCAATATTGGAGACAAAACTATTCATCTTGGGATTTGTACGAGTGTATTAAACTACGACTGAGTTGAAGTAAAAGAAAATTGACTAGCGCAAGAGCTTCCGGATATCTTGTGCTTATCTGTTTTTGATTTTTAGCAATGGTGGATATTTAGTGTTTTTATGTCATTGTTTTAGATCATTTTCTGCATGAAAGACACAATGTCATCAACACCATCTTCAGTAGATCATTTTAAACAAGTACGACTAGAACAATTTACTGATGGTGGGTACGACTATGTATCTTCTTAAGTGAACGGTGCACAATTTTATTTTCCAACACCACCATCATCTATGCATTTAACAGCCATTCCACCTTCACCATCCTCAAATCGTATCAACACATTATCATCTACAATAGATAAACAACAATGCTATTTTTCTTTACCACAAACTTTACCGCCATTATCGGGTTTTCTTCCATCTTCTTCAGCACCTCCAGTGATTCCATCAATGTTATTGAACGATCGATTTCAACAACAGCACGCTAAAACGATGATGGAACCGTTAAGTAGTGAAAACACTGAATACGATCCGTTTGCTGTGGAAGATGAAGAAGAATCGATGGTAGAGAAAGAGAATGATTTGATCTCGATACCGTTACCACCGGAAAATGTGAATATTCAAGACGATACAATAACAACTACACAGAACATAGATGAGAATAATGATAGTGGGATGAAAACAAGTCAAAATGATGATAGAACGACAACCGCAATAGACCTTGATAATAGCTCACTAAAGTAAATGCGAGGTTTCAAATTACTTATACTTATACTTACTCAACTATGCAACGAGTAGCTTTTAGACAGGTGTCGTAAATGACTAGTTTATTCTCATTTATTTTAGCACAAGTACATCTACGCAACAACAACCTTTAATTATTCCATTTTCAATTCAATTGTCCAGTGCATGTGATGCTTCTTCGGTACCCTCCTTCTCTTCATCAATGGCAAATGTTTTGAATAATAACAGTTTAACGCCAACAACAGTAAGTAATGAAAAAAGTAAACGTCGAGCACGTCATGTTTTAGCATCAATGAAAGCACTGAGAAATGCCTCAAGAATACAACAAAATTCTGACGCAAATATATTTCAATTAAAAATATCTACTAATCAACAGAGAATATCAGCACACATAGAAGAAGAAAATAGAAACGACAATGAACGACTAAATTTATCATCATCAGTAAAAGAAGAAGATGAAAAATTAGAAGAAAAGAAAAAAGATGAGCAAATCCAAATTAATTTTAAATCGATCCCAAATCGAAAGAAATCACGTTCAAGTGATCGTCAACATTCTCGTAATGACAGAAAACGAAGTTGTTCAAGGAAACGGCGTAGAAGAAGAAGTTCATCTTATGACAGTAAACAACGGAGGAGTAAAGATTGTAAGAGACGATCAACAGATACAAGGAAAGATGATGACTATAATAATGACAAGAAAAAGTATGTAATGTAATTCACCATTCCACTAATAAACATATCATTATACCATTCTTTCAAAAATTCTAAGAATCAGAAAATAGTAAACTAAAGTCGACGATACAATGCTTACTCAATTCAAAAACTATTGAAAAGTCTTGAGATAGAAAGTTTTGACCAAATAGAGTTCCTGGTTCTTTTGAATCATGAATATAGATAAGTTTTAAGTTTCTCACAGATACAACTACTATTAAAAGACTGTTTTGAGAATACAATATAAATCGGTATGATTCTTCGAAGTAGAAATGAGATATATCCTTAATTATAAGACAACTCAATCTTTATACATCAGCATTAGATTAGATACGATACAAACTCTTTAAAATTCTACTAACTTTATACTATTAAACTTATGATTAGTTTGACATTCTGACTGTTTCAGATCACTGTCAAGACGCTCTCGTAGTCGAACATCGTCTAATCGTCGCTATCGTTCATCATCGCACCGAAAACGCCTTCGAGCAAATTCATCTGAACACAAGAAACGTGAAAAATCATCTAGTCCATATAAGAAAGTATCTGCGCCACTACCGCAACTGACAAATTTATCAGTAAGTTCAGATTTCAATAATAAAAAATCTGAAATTGACACGATAACAATCGATTCGCCAAAAAGATCTGAAAAATCTGAGGACAATACTGATTCTTCATCCACTGTAAAAAAATCGAAAGTATCGCATAAAACGTCAAGACATCGACTGCGAACGAGATCACGTTCAGCATCTAAAAAACGATCAACAGACAGTAAGGGAGATAAAGAAAAGCTTGATAAGAAATTAAAAAAACATGAAAGTATTGAACGACCAGAAAAACAACGTCATGGAACAATGACAAACCACGACCGATCATCGAAAAAGCCATCATCACCATTCCACCGTGAGCATTATCAATCATCCTCATCTTCACATCGAACTTCAGCATCTTATCATTCGAGAACATCTCCAAGAGCTCAACCGGTAAGATAGAAGTGTGACATTTAGCATTCTTCTATGATAATATGATACAAAATTGATGGCGGAGCAATCATTGTCATCATCTTTTTCTAGCCTCATCATCATTTGCCACCTCTACCTCGTACATATCCTCCAGTATCACTTCCACCTCCAACTGTTCATATTCTACCATCATCTCAACATTACTCCACGCAACAACAACAGTCTTCATCTTCCAACTATCATCATAAACAATCGAATTTTTCCAGTCCACCAAAAACTATTCTTTATACTCAACAGCAATCACACGACAATTCTGCACAATTTAACACACCAAGAACCGCACCAAAAGTACTACCGCAAAAAGACATTGTTCCTGTTCCTCTTGTAACAGTTTCTACACCAGTCACATCAGAACAACAACAACAACAACAGGAACAGCATAGTGAAGAATCAACAACCTCGGTGACACCAAAAAATAATGAAACATCAGTTGAAGATCGTGTTCGAATTTTTAACCGTTTAAAAAATATGAGTGAAGGTGGAAATAATCAGCAACAGTTACAACAACCAAAACAAACCCTACCATCATTTATTTCAAATTTAAATAACTTACCTTCATCAAATACGAATGGTAGACAAAGAAGTAATCTAATACAAATAGTTACAACTGACGCATCATCATCAAACGCAGAAGCAGGTAAAAAATTATTTGACAATCTGTAAGTGTTATAAGCTGTCTTTTTGTCCGTTTTCATTACTTGATTAATGTGTAGTTTTTCTGACAACGTTCAATGAAAGCAGATCATTCCAATTGTTGTTATAAAAAGTTCGATTCTTACGCGGTTCATATGTATATTATTTTTGTATTTTAGTATCAAATACTAAAGAGTCATCGCAACTTTCATTGAGTCCTCCGCGTCCATCAGTCACAATATTCGAAGTCGATCAACAACAAATAACAACTTTGTTACTCCCAAAACCAGTCCAACAACAAGTTAAATCAGTTGAAAGAGATAAAAAATTAGATAACGAGAAAATGACATTTGCTGCTGATGATATTCTAATGGAAGAAATGTTACGTGAAGAAGAAGAACAAAATAAAGTTAAAATTGATTTGGACAGTCTAATTATACCGGATAGCAATACGAATACTACAAGTATATCTACTGTTGTTAAAAATGACAAACAAGAACAACGATTTCAGCTAACAACATCAATAACGCCAGTTAAAAATAAACCTTATACATTGTACAAAGTACCAGTAACAAACCATATCACACCGCATCTATCGAAACATCATAAAAAACTGAAAGATGATGATAAAAAACGAAATGAGACGGTGAATATAGACATTAATAGTAAGAATTGTTAAACCTTTATGAAATTAGTATGGTATTTAATTTTTTTTATATTTTTATGTTTTGTAGCTCAATCTGATACATCAGCGCCACTAAAAGATGCTAATTTATCAAAATCTCATCAACAAATCCGACGAAGTCCTCGTCATACATCATTGGATGAACGTATCTCAAACATATTATTGGGCGGTAATAGTTCGAAACCTGCATCTCCACTCATCACAACGATCAATAATAAGGGTTTAACAAGTGAGAATATAGAAGGTAATATAACAGAAAAATCTCATCATACGACACCATCGGATAAAAGTGCAAGTCCGCAAGATATTCATCAATTAGTTTCAACAATATTTACTCCACATCAGCAGAAAATAAAATCATTGTCAACAAGTAATTCAGCATTATCCGATCAACAATGCCAACCAATAAAAAACCAGACAAATGAAACAAAACAGTACACGTCCCTATGGATCACCACTCAACAACAACAACAACAACAACAACAACAACAACAACAACAACAAGATGGTAAGATTTCTAGATTTCAAACTAGAAAATATGTTTGAACTAAAGAATTTTAATAGAAAATTTTATTATCAAAAAATTAAGTTAATCAACTTATTGATTGACTTTGATGATCTTTCTTGCTCTTTAGACGAAATACTTCCTGTTATCACCGTATTGCCATTACCAACACTGTTACCACAAATGACAAATAGAAGTTCATTAGAAACAACAACATCTACAAGCACACCATTATCCAAAGAGAATGGTATTAGTATGATTGGAAAACTATCGCAGGCAATGACAAAATTATTATTTCAAGCCGGAGAAAATGGTGTTTAAACGTTTATCTTCATCGAATAGATCTCGTTTATCTATTTCTATCATTTTTTAGCTCCATACAATCCCGTTCACCATGAGACAACAGCTTTTTTCGATGATACATCAGATAATGTACCATCGTCAGCTAAACATCTGGAGAGAATTGAACGAGTAAGTAGTGAAAATGAATTTAAAAAAATTTCTCATATTTGTTTGTATTTATTTTTTTCTAGAGAAAACAAAAAGAACGACGTCAAACAGAAATAGCTTCTATGGCAAAAGAAGCATTGAAACCAGCATTTCGAAAACAAGAAATAACCAAAGATGAATATAAAGAAATTATGAAGAAAGTTGTTACAAAAGTACGTTAGTCTTTATGATCTAGAGAAAAACATTCAAATAATTGTTTAATATTATTTTTATAGGCAACAAATGCCGATTTTGAAGTTGATTCTGTTCGTATTACAAAAATGATTGACGCCTGCGTTCAAAAATATCGTAACCATTTGAAATCAAATAGTAGCGCTGCTACTGGCAATGGGTGAAATGTTTGTTAATTAGTTATTTAATTTCTGTATATTATTCTATTTTCACTCTTTGTTCGTGTATGACACAGTGATTGAAAGTGTTATGCACGATTTATTTGGATTTCTGTCGTCCTTGTTTTATTTTCTCTGTAGAGAGACACAATTAAAAAAGTCTTTTGTTTTTGTTGCTCGTTTTATTTAAAACGGTTCTTTTTCAAATGATTACATATACAGCAACTTCTTTTTATTATTTTCTTTGTTTGTTTATTACATTTTTTTGTTATTCTATTTGAAAGAGAGAAAAAAAAATGAATTTAACTAAAATAAAAAATATGCGTTCTGCTAATTGACGTAAAGCTAAAAATTAGAATTAACTTTATTTTTAATTATCTCTATTTCTCAAATAATCTTTTCTAATTTAAACCCTCTATTTTACGTTCAAGAAAATCAGTTATCTTCGTTTTTAAACTCAAAATTTTGAGTTAGAGAAATAATTTGACATTGGAAAGTCTTACTGCTGTTACATTAGACAGATTGAGTACGAATGAAACGACTGATACTTATTACAGTAGTTCGAACTGTTATGAAGACAGCTGTTACTGTCCTTTAAAAAAAGTGTATTTCAAAAAAGCAAAAAGGTATTTTAGTTTGAGTGTTTAGATTATTCTTTTTATAATTTTTTATTTTTAAAATACTTCGAATGTTTTTTTTAAAAAATACCATATTGTTTCGAAACGTTCAGCATTACTATCGTCGGTTTCAAAAACTGATATCGAAAGCAATCGTTATTCTAAATTATAACTTATAAGCCGTTCAGTATATCCAAAGTCTAGAATATTTTTTGCGAGTAACTGAATTATCGTAAATTGTATAACAATTTTTCCCACCTAAAGTTTAAGTAAAAAATTTAACTGCCATCCACTAGTATTTTCTCTTATTCCTGCTAATAAATAGAAATCGTTGATACATTCACTTTTCCCAATTTTGGACTTATAGCGTCCTAGTGAAAACAGTGCGCGTAATTTTAGTATCAGACCAAATTAACAGATGGCATGCCACGGATCATCTCCTAAATTTTTCTACTCAAACTCTAGTTCTCCTTTGTTTCATAATTTGGTAAAACAAACTGTCATTTTCACCATTTCCAAGAAAATAGTCGAGTTCTACTATTGATAAAACATATTACAATGGAAACCATAACTTTTCCTCATATGTTGGAGAGTTAATAAACTCTCTCCTAAATCCTTTTTTTTAATGACAACTCCTAAACACTTATTGGTTCTGTATATTGCATCTTTTTAAACCCTATGAGTTCCAATGATAACGTTTCCAATGATTTCTATGCCGATCGATAGAGGATAGTGAGCTAGTAAAAATCCTAAAAGGATTTGGGCTCATGGTACTTCTTTCAAAGTTATGAACTTTTTTGTTTGCCTTGCAATGGTACCTACTAATACTAAAGTATTGAATTTGGTATTGAATTTGGGTAGACGTTTGCTTCTATAGCCGTTGATTGCACAAAAGACTCTTTTAAGTTTTCCTTTAAGACCGTCCAGACTTATGGTTGGATGTTGACCGGTCATCCTGATGAACCGCATCGGCAGCACAGGTGGGCAGCTCCGACCTTTTCTCGCTCCAGTTTCGTTCCCACTCCAGGTATTTCTGAGTCGCTCAACTCCGACTCCACTCTAACAAGAAAATTTCTGCACCCGCTCCGCACAAACCAGAAAATTTTCGCTCCAGCTCCGACTTCGCTCCAGCTAAAAATAGTTTTCATCTTATTGGAAAAGCACATTCTTCATTTCTTTGAAGTAGCTTTGCAATGATCTTCATATTCTGTGTCTTCATATGACGGTTCATATTCTCTTTCACAGCATATACGAAATATTAACAAGAAAATTTTTATGTACAATAATTTTAGATCACAGTTTGATCTGTAGCATGAAATAAGACTAGTGGAGATAGGGGAAGTGTCGATTGCATTTGAGTAGAGCCAACATAGCGAGTATGTTCTTAGAGAGTTGGCTAACATAGGATCGCCTGAACATCTCACTGGAAGAAAACACACGTTTCACAGGAACGGATGTGAAAGGTACACAACTGCGACTGATTATAAATACGACAAAGAAGTATCGACTGCGATGAATAGTCAACGATAAGCTTTCCTCTGACTGATGGATCTATCATCGTTTACAGAACATGAAGGAAAAAATGGAGCTATGGGCGGAGTGCTAAAAGAAAGAGCCGCTCCGACTCCGCTCCAGCTCTATGGTTTTTACGAAGCGCTCCGTTCCGACTTCATGACTCTCATACAACGCTCACTCCAGCTCCGGTGATTTTCATCAACCGCTCGGGAGTCGGAGCTGCCCATCTCTGATCGACAAGGAGATTTGTTCTTTTTCAGCAAAAAACTCAAGAAGACTTAGTAAACATGAGTTTTGAAAAACCAGTAAAGTTATTACAATAATTTGTATACAGTCCTCTCCATTTATCCCAAAATTATTCTGCAGAAGAGTAAATGTTATACACAAATAATGGGTAGAAAAACACATATCTCGATCGAACTTAGTAATAACATTGAATTACTAGATCAAGGATTCTTTGAGAAAGATACATATGATTAGATTAGACTTCGTAGTACAGAGGTAGGATGCTCGAGTACCAAGCGAGTGTTGTCAAAATTACAATTTCTGATTGGAATATGCGTGTTTCTTCACAATATTCACGTATAAAAACCGCAAAAACTATGTATATTCATTAATAAAACATTATCTATCGATGAGCTTGTTACTGTATAAGTTTTCTGCATAACACATGCATCTATTGACTTAGATAAGCTCTATTACTTTAGCAATCCGATGTTTTATTAGTATTAATATCAAATTAATGTGTTGGTTCAGTAGTTAAAATAGGAACAGTCTACATATTTCTGATTAAAAATTTTTTCTTTGATCGTATTTATACAAACAAAGATACTTTCAACAGAACACAAACAAACAGAGTAATCGATACGTAATTTATCCGAACATTGGTCCTGCACTATCATCATATTCGTGACGACGTTGGTTTTCTAAATATACATCATTAAAATGATCAATTTCATCTCCAAATGTTGTTGAATCATCAGATTGTGAACGTGTCTCTATTCGTCTTCTCATTGAATGGTCAGATGGTCGTTTACGCACAAATATTCCCAAATTTGATCCACGAAATAATGGTAAAGCAACACGACTGTTTGAATCGATACGTCGTTTAGATAAGCCAATAAATGAGTGAATGGGTTCATTATCACTACTTAATCGATAGATAGCAGATAAATGTTGTGCTTGATCGGATGGTAAGATTGATTCAAGTGATGATGCTTGATTATAACAAATTATGAATAAAAAGAAACCTATTTTTCCAAGAAAAAATGCATTACTAAATTTGATGTTTTACAGTTAGAGATAAGTAATCAATGAGTAAGAAAAGATCTATTTTTGACTTGACTTCGGACGTTTAACACATCAATTTTTCCACTCTAATAGAAGTTCGAATAATTCTAGTTATTTATGTTTTATTATCTATATAGAATTTAAACTTACTTGTAATGAATACAACTTGGGTGAATGATAACATTTTGAATGATGAGAGGTGTTGACAAATGAGAGATTTTTGTTGAATGAAAAAACTTTTAGTTTAGTTTAGGAGTATTATTAATCAAATGATATATAATCATTCTTTATTTGCGTCATTCAAGTATTTTTTAAAGAAAAATAACGAGAACTATCTTTTTTTTTTACAAAGAATTCACCTTCAAATCGGATAAGTCTCGCCTTATGAGTAACTGTATATATCATGTGACAAGAATATGAACATGCAAACACTTCAGTCATGGAAGTATATTAACATTAATGATCATCTGTCGAAGATAGAGATTATTTACCAGTACTTTTGATTAAAACCGTTGAGACTAAAGCTTAAAATATTGATTTCACCCACAGAAACATGCAATATTCTAGATATATTTTCATAAACAAATTTTTATCAATTTGAAATAAATCTATCAAAAGAGGAATATATGTCTTCTTAATTTTGTATAATAGTTAATCAGTTCTTCGCTGCGTAGGTGATGTAATACAGAATTTAACATTTTTAATAAAATACAATGACGAATTTTAATGAACTGGGACAAAATCTCATACAATAAATTTTTTTTTTTGTTTAGAGTTTTCCAAATTAAAGTTGTAGATTTCACTTAAAACTTTTATTATTTGTTTATATCTCAAGCAGAAAAAAATACTGTTGTAAGATTTTGTCGCAGGTGCCTGTAATAAAATTTTGGACTCGATCGATCACATGAATTTTTCGGGAGTCTGCGATGTACTCAAAAATGAAAACCGGACGTTTCAAAACAAAATTCATAGAAGGACATATCACAAAATTTAGAGCAAAACTACAACAATTATGTTCTGTATTTGGCAAAAATTTGAATCAGTTAGACCTTTGCTTCCACCTTTACCATCAAAACAAAAAAGAAGAGAGAGCGGTAATCTTAAGTACGATGTCATTCATAAAATAATTTGAAAACAGCTAACGATCGTTAGAATGCGCTAAATACGAAACATTTAACGGGTTAATCCACTTCTGTGACGTCTTAAATTTAGAAGTTACACGAGTGTGAACGCAATTTTCATCTTGTTCTTTTTCGAAATCACGTTCGACCGCGTTAACTTTGGGAATTTAACCCGTTTAAATGCGTTAAATATGAAATATTTGATTATTTTCATATTTAACACATTCTAACGATCGTTAGTCGCTTCGAATTATTTCATGGGAGCTGTTTTTTGTAAGAGGTGAGTCAACGCTGCTTATTCTGCCAAAAAACTTTTGTACGACAGAGATCATATGATTGAATATTGAACGATTGAACACCGTTCGGCAAGTGATAAGTAAATTAAGAAATGACAAGTGTCAACAATAGACAAAATGTTCGGTGCTAAATGTATATAACCAGTTGCAAAAAAAAAACGCTGGTGGTATCCATTCTATTTTACAGTATTGACCTAATATTATCCGATATCGTTGGAGATGCAATACTTAGCAGAACAAGTGAGCCAATCCTTTTATTTTAGAACCAGATAGGGTTTCATGGGATAGTTATGACCAGCTTCTAAAACTTTTGCATTATTTCTGTACTGATTCAAGTCATTTTCAATCTGATAAATGCGATATTAATCAAGCAGATAGATCTAACCCATGTCCGTCTACTAATATTCAAATTTTCTTAAAACTTATCAATGTTAGTTAGTACTGATCAATTTTCATTCTGTAATCATCAACTGACTATAACCACGATAAAGCGTAACATGTAGAAAATAATTAACTCTAAATAATTGATTAAAGATGAGCTCGAATGATGGGTAATTCATCTAAGAGATAGAACAGAAAATTTTCTACAAGACAGTCTAATTTTTAATTTCAAAGGTGAGACTATGTTGTGGAAAAAAAGTTGTTCTACTTTCTTTTAGTTATTTTAGCTCGATTGGACCCAATTATCTTAATAATACAAATTGACTAATCGTGATCATTGTGGATAAATCAATGATGGTCAGTTAATTATGATGAACTGAAAACTGAAAATTGATCAGTACTGATTAACACTGTTAAGTTTGAAGAATATTTGAATACTAGTATTGATTAAATTTAACTGTTTGTTTGATTAATATCCTAATCATCAGATTGAAAATGACTTGAATCAGCTCAAAAATAATGTAAAAGTTTAGGAACTAGCGTCAGCCATCCTACGTAATTTTACCATTAAATATTCTTCAAAAGTGTGATCTGCCAGAAAGAAGTACTGAAGTCGTTCTAGAATTGTGCAAAAGAAAATATTTTAGAAAAATAACATGATTATTCTGGACTTCTTCTGTATGCTCTAGGTTATCTATTTTTTCTTTGAGTAAAGAGTCGAAACGTATACAGTTGACATTAATATTTATAGCAATTAGAAGTTAAAATGGCAAAGTAAGAACAATAGAAAAACAAAATTATTAAAGTAACTAACAAAATCTTGTCAAAGTAGTTCCTATCACAGCTAAAATGTGTAATTCTTCCGATCTCTGAGAATTTTTTAAGTATATAACTGAAACTCCTCTTGGAAATCGGTAGATGAAGCAGTTACACAAAATTATGAATCATTTATTATTTCTATAAAAGTCGATTCAATCCTACACTTAGTGATCAACATTTATGCAACAAATTTCAAATATTTACAAAGGAATAAAATCTACAATCCAATGGATATCATTGGTAGTCTTCTTATCGTTCAATGATCAACAATTTAAAAGAAACATAAAATGTTCATGAATGCACGATATTAATAAATATTTAGTTAGAAATAAACCTACGCACCTCTGTTATTATTTATTAAACAGTTGCTCTTCGTTTTTTGTTTTCAGTACATGAATGTTGAAATAAAAACTCGTTTAAATGTGCGTTCACTTGTAAGATAGATATCAGTTGTTTCCTGAAATGATTGCGTATTCGACCGACAAAGTATTCGGTATCTTTCCTTCATGATTATTTAATCGTAAAATTTGTTTGATGTGCTAAGTAGACAGCAGTGTTAAAACACAACTAAACATAACTTTGATTTGAAAAATGTCAACTTTCTAAAATATTATAGATGAACTGTAGCTAGGCGTGTACATTTTTTGATTAATTTAGAACTGGTTTACACCTTTCAGAGGAAAAAACCACAATTAGTGTTCTGATAAATGACAAATTTTTATTCAATTTAAAATGCGTATGAATATTCGACGAAAAGAAGGAATGAGAGGTAAACAAGAATCTGAAATAACTAATGTTTCTTGTTTTTTCCCATATGATAGTACTGTGATTATAGTTATGTTCGGATGTATCAACAAAACGAAGTTGATATTCCTTTTTATCTGTTGATATATTAGCGCGTTTTCAAATTTAAATTAAAGGAATTTTGTATCGAATTATGTAATTAAATTAGTTCTCTCTTCATCAACTGAAGAACGAAAAGCAAACTCTATTTAATATCTGAGATTTGTTTATGAATTTTTCTTCCGTCTATATTTCACCATTGACAACAGTAGCAACTACAAAATTGTTTGATGATGAAGATTTATCTGCATTACAATATTGGATATTAGTTGGTGTTTTTATTAGTTTTGGCGTGTTATCAACATCTATTATTTCAATTATTGTTTATCATGAACTGTTTAATTCAAATAAGAATGTTGTGAATGCTGAACGAGCAGCAAAATTAAAAGATCTCTATGATGCAACAGGCATCAAAATTGAATTAAACGATATTCGACAAATAATGATGAATGAAGTTATACTTGAAGCGTGGAAACGTGAAAAACAACGACGACAAGCTCATCGACATCATCATCATCATCATCATCATCATTCGATAGAATAGGATCGTATGAAAGTAAAGAGAATGTAAATTTAGTGACAAAGGATACAAAAGAAAAGCAGATACATTTAAAATCAATATGTAAACTTCATGAAACTGAAAATAATTTATCATTAACGAAATACACAATATTTAATGATATTAAACATCAAAAATTAGTACGTACAACGAGTGCATAAAATTTTAACTCGAACGAGTACACGAAAATTGTATTGTGATTATATTGCCGAAAATCTAAAAATAAACAAGTGTATCTAACAAAAAAAATCTGTGTATGTGATCTAAATCGACAAAGTGTCTTCAATTGCTCATTACTTTGCTAACGGAACTGCCTCTCTCTGTTCAAGAAAATCATAATCCAGTCAAAATTGATGCGAATTAATTTAGACTTTCATGATATATGTACTCTATTCTATCTGTCGAATAGTCCAAAAACATTCTTTCACTTATGCAGATTTCATTTTTGTACTTAATATTGACCTTTATAGTACGAAATTATTAAAATAGAATTAATATATTTTGAAGTTTTAAAGTAATTTGGATCGATTGTACCAGAGTTATGAATTTTTTAAATTTCAGTAAACAAAGATGGATGATTTCAACTAAGCGTTTACCAGTTTATTGAAGTTTTGTCAACGAACAAACATTACCACTGAGACTCAGTGTAGACGGTAACATATGATTCATTAATTCTTGAAGTCACTAAGAATCGCAGGAGAGCAATCGTGAGGCTTACAAAAGATTCGATGTCAAATCTAAATCATGATAAACGTCAAGTTTGAATAACTTTCAATTTTTTTGAGCATACTGTGTGCTATCTACTCTATGTATAGAAAGGAATACGTTGTTATGTCCAAGAAAATTTTCTAAAGACTCTAGTAAAACTCTATCGTCTAAAGAGATTATTAAACTTCTTTTTTTCTTTTGGAGAAAAAGACATTGTCTTCTATCGTATGACGAAAAGAATTGAGATGTATCTGACTTTATTAGGCTATTAAGTTTTTTATTAGGCAAAAAATGATACATAGTAGAATAAATGTTCTTCTTTCTTTTGAACTAGATATTGAATTAGATGAAATGTATTTTGAAACGGTATAAACAAGACTTTTTCGTTTCGCTATTTGCTTTCTACTAGTAAGATTTTTTGTTTCATTACTTGGAATAGATGAATAATGATTATAATATTTTTGAACATCCATAATGAGTTTCATATTTTTTGTACGACATAAACCATCGTATTTTTGATCAATTCCTTCAATATCTCCATTTGATGTTGAAATAAAATAATATTCTTGTTGTTCATGAAATTCGATTGCATCAGGATATGGTAAAAAATTAGAAATTGTCATTGTATAAATTTGTGTTTCAAATGGTCGATTACAACGTATTAATGGTTTATAATTCGATGAATAACATTGTCTATACGCATCTTTTGATACAATATAAAGAGAATTATATTCAACTGGATCATATAATGGATTCATCGATTTTGGACAAATAAAATCTACTTTATCACCGAGATGTACGTATAAAATAGCTGTTGATTGTGATGATGATAATGAAAATAGTTCGTTTGTCGAATTCCAATAAATTTGAATTGTATTTGGATGATGATGATGATGTCGACGATGAATACTAATCGTAATAGTAGTTTTAAATAAATATATGATTAAAATAAGGTAAAATATTAATTTTAGTTTCATAAGATTGATACAAACATTACCATGTATGCGATGAAGATTTATCTGTGAAAAATATTATATTGAATGTATCTCTCTGTAATGAAGTATGTATACTACTTGATTAGGATCAAATAATTTCCGAGTGTGGGTCTTTTTTTTCACTGTTCTACATATATATATATATATAAATGTGTGTCGAGATTGTGTATGTGATTGAACACGTTGTTGACTATTAAAAGAGTTGCATAATAGCTACAAGCTGTGTATATGTATATGTGATAAACAACCGACAGCATTCATCATTTCGATCTTTATTTTTTCTTTTTTGTTCTTCACTTTTCGTTTCAGATAATTATTAAAAAATTTTCGGATTAATACACTGATTTTTCTTCTTTTTCTTCTTAGTTAAAAACAATCTGTTTCTAATAGTGTATAATCAATATTAGATGAAAAATTCTCTACGGTTCGGTTCTGTTTCATTCGTTTTGTACAGAGAAACGTAGAGAAAATTATTCAATGATAAATGTGTTCATATAATGAAGGACAAAATGATTCACACCTTTAAAAAACAAGTAGAACAAAAGTATGTGTTATAAATCACATCGACTTTATTAGAATATATGATGAATGAAGAAATAATTTACCAAAGATTCTTTGACATGTATTCTCTCTCTCTCTCTCTCTCTCTCTCTCTCTTAATAACAAGAACAAAATACTTATTTTGACGTTTTCAATCGATTCCTATACACACTTATCAATTCTAAATTGTATGAAATGTTACTGATTGCTGTTTTTTTTAATTTGAGCAAGACAGAGAGTGAGAAAGTGGAAAATCGATCATGAAATAGCAACGAGTATCTTCTTTAGTTTCGAGAAAAGTTAGCTGTTTAAAATGTTTATATTTCTGCCATCTCACTCATATAAGTATCTATATTTTTTTCTGTTATTTTAATCTTGTCATCATTTTATAATTTTGTCATTAAATCTCATGACTCTCTAATGTGAGAGTCTACATGACAATTCGAAATGTGTCATTAAATTTCAATGTTTTGAGAATCTTTAACATCTTTAGTGTTATGTTGACAGAAATAATATAAATTGATGTTTCTTTTTTACTTGTTAAATAAATATGAGAGTGAAAGGTGTTCAACAGTATCCGTTATGGTTAAACAAACACCTTAACAACGTGTATAAAATTAATATAGAATAGAATTAACTAAGAAATAGAGAGGATTTACCTTCTTGTTATTTATATATTTAATATAAATAAACATTTTGTCTCTTTCTCTTGGGCAATTTCAGGGGCGTCTATCCTGTGGGACGTTTGAAGCGCAATGCCTCAGACAAACGTAAGGTGGTACACTTTTTTTTTGCTGTAGAAATTAATTTTTTAGATAGTACACTGAGTAATCGAACCTTCGAGGTGGTACAAAATGTCTCAAATATTCAGGTGGAGATAGATGCTCCTGGGCAATTTTGTTTCTCATCGTTTTAATCACTCGCTAACTCCTTTTCAATACACTCCGTTACACGCTGCTAACTACATAGAACAATTTTTTTTATTCTAGTTTAAGTCTCATAGGAAAATGATCATAGTTTTTTTGAAATACATTTCATCGATCGATGAGCCATCTTATTTGAAAGAGAAATAGTCATTTTTCATAACTGTTTAGTCAAAAAAAAATGTAAAAAATAAAAGAGATACTTTTTAATGGTTTTATGGAGTACAAAACAATTAAAAATTGATACAGCAGTTATCTCGTATTTCATATTTTTATCAAAACTGGATTGGACAATTTTTTATATTTACAAAAATTGAGTCAAAAAAAATGAGACTTGTTCTAACTTTGAGAGGATAGGATATTAATTAAAATAAATTTATTCACTAGAAATAAACTCGAGTTTAAAATATTAAAAGCGTTTTTTTCTTCTTTTGACCGCAGTCAACTCGCGTGATTCATAGAGAATTTTGACAATGAAATTGTCTTTTCTCTAAATACGTTAGAATTTTATCACCACATGGTTTCGGGCCTGTTCTATATATATATAATGTCTAGTCTAGACTAGAATTTTATCCAAGATTTTTCTCAATTCTGATTCGAGTACCGAATTTTCCCTCCGCACATATTCAAGCACTATAAAACCTTATAAAAACACACACCTCTATCTTCTAATTTTACAAATAGAAACATTATGATTAAATAAATGTAATATAACATGAAAGAAACACAAATAATCTTTCTCCAAATCACCGCAAGAACGATTACATAAAATAAATTCTCATATTGTTCTTCTGGTTTTTGGACATCGATTAAATTAAAAACTGAGACTGTCGTATATTAATGTTGAAATCACATAAATAAGAACACTTTTTCTTCACGAACATTGATCAACAAAGAAACAAACTGTCTGTTCTAATGATGAAACAATGAAAGACAATATATGAGAATAAATGTCTCATACAATAAAATAAAAAAAGTATGAATGAGAATTCTTGTTTTAAAAAAATACCCGATGTTCTTTATGATGAAAAAGTATTAGCTTAAAACTAATAAAAAATTCTATTCAACATGAAGTTATTTCTAGTTGTGTACAAATATGAACAAATATAAAAGTTTATCAATAGCATAATAAAGTGTAAAATAATAAAACTAATGTATAAAACTTAAAAATATTTTTATTCTAAACTCGTCTAGTTCAAAATTAGAATTTCAATCTGATCTATATTGACTTCAATCGTGAATCGACACTTGAGCGACCGATTATTGAACAATTTTTTAGTGTGTGTGTGATGGCTTGAAATCAACAAAATTGAATAGATTTTTTTTGCATTTTTTATTGGAAGAGAAGATGCGAGGATAGTGAAGGTGAGTAAAATCTTTGAGATGAAATTTAGTTTAATAAAATGTTATTATTAGAAGAAAATGTTTGATAGGCTAGATCACTTCAACTACAGTTAAACAAAGAAAATATGCCTAAGGAAGAAGTTCAAAATTGGAAGAGAATGTATGTGTATAGTTGTATAAGAGATCACTTGAACGTCGGTTCATCAGCTGTGACATATATATTCTTTATTCGATTGTGAGAAAAGTTACAGAAAGACAGTCTCGAGGACTGCACGCGTAGTAAAGTTCAGTTCATAGCTTCTAGGCTTTGAACTTTTTTGTAACTAAAAAAACTGTTATAAAACAAATTTCTTTATTCATTAACAAGTTCTAATATAAGTGATATAACTATTGTATATATCTCTCTATATACTATCTAGTCTCTCATTATAAAATGCTACTGGTTTCGATAAATGAACTTTGCAGACTAAAAGACTAACAATAATGAACTTTAAAAATGAATTTTCGAGACATAGTTCAAAGTACAATTTTTATACATTTAAAATACTAATTTGTTTAAAAATATTCTAGGTAATTTTTAGTGTTATATTTCAGTTTTTCTCTTAACCTTCCAACAATATGAAAAGAAAAAATTTCAAGTTATTTTGCATGAACTTATGATATGACTGAATACATTCAAGTATCGTACACTTATAAAACTCTTGAATATTTCAATTATAGTTACTTACGCTTTAAAGAACCTTGACAATGTGATGATTATTACATGAAGAAAAAAAGATATCAAAAACAAAACTAATGAGGATTGCAACAGTAAATAGGTTACCATGACGTTTCGAGGACCAAACAAAAAAAACTGAACACTTGTCTTTTTTGGTATACATTTATGTTATATTTTTAAAATATAAAAAAGTAGTTCTCTTCTTTTTTTTTTCTTCTTCTTCTTCTTCATCTAATGGGGTATTCCAGAATCAACGACCGTCTCACCATTTTGTCAATAATTTTTTCATATTTCATCTCCTATAGAATTTGATATTTTCTTTTTAAAATTGATCTATCATTCATTTTTCTACAAAAGATATATTGACTATTTGATTGCAACAAGGTAAAAAATGATGAGAAACTCAAAACTGGTTCAACGTTCTAAACATAAAACAAAAACAAGATTTCTTTTTTTTCTTGATTTCTTTGTTTATTGTGAAATGATAATATTTGAACTAGTCATTTTGTTATCTATATCTCAATGACATTTTTTTTCCTCACATAATGAATGGCAACAACATGAGAACTTGTTTACTTTTATTCAATTTATCAAAGATTACTTCACGAAGATATTAATTAAATTAAATCTTTATGTCATAATATCGGACTTAACACTAGAACACCCGAAAATTTTCATGATCTAGAACGTCCAAAGCGATCATTTTGACCGTTACTTTTTTTTTTTAAAATTTTATACTTAAAAATGATTCTGAATTCAAAAATGAATTAAAAATTCTGCAAAAAATAATTTTTATAGGACAAATTAAAAGTTATGACATAATTTATTTTTAAATAAATTGTATGCAGTTTGTTTTATTAAGAATAAAAATCACAAAACGGTCAAAATGACTGCTACGGGCGTCCTAGTGTTAAAGAAACTGTCTAATTTAAACTTGATAACATGAAAATTTATGTTTGATAATAAATTTAATTCATTGTAATAATGAGTGAGAACGTTAACAATCATTTTGAATATCTCCATGTTCATCACTTTTATTAGAAAATGATTAGGACATCCTTTGTAGAGAAATAATCGACAGATTGTTCTAAAAAATATCGACATCTCTCTATAGTCGATGAAATGGTAAGAATAATTTTTTCATAATTATAAAAATTTTCATCTGAAATTAAATATTTTGATAGGAACTTATTGATAGTAACAAACTAATTATGCATATGTACAAATGTTTATTTTTAAGAATAGAATTCAATTGAATCACATTGTTATTTTGTGACTCGTCTCGATAGTAGATGGAAGCCTCATACATCGGGATTTATCTTTTCTTCTTAAGTTATTTACACGTTAACTGATGAAACCTTAACAAATTTCATCTATCGTTTATTTGTGTTCATTGATGAAAAAAAAATGTAAAAGAAAATAAACTTTATTATGTGAAGTAAAAGAAAATAAATAAATAGATTCATTCTTTTATTATTATTTTCTTTTTCAATTTAACCATACTGTCAGAGTCGTGATTATAAGAATTCCTATTACAATGATAGGGTAACAAAAAAAAAAGTTTACGTTTTTCTCTTTTATTCTCACCAGTGAATGCATAATTATAACATATTTTAATGGATTCTATATTTTACGGAAGTAAAACTTATACAATGATTCTTTTTTTTTTGAAGAGAGAGAGAGAGAGAGAGAGAGAGAGAGAGAGAGAGAGAGAGAGAGAGACAAAGGGAGAAAGAATGTTTAGAAAACAAAGTAAAAAGATCAATAAAGTATACTATGTTTTTATTGATTGAATTTATTTTTATAATAGAAGACTTTCATTCAATTGTCTAAAGTTGAAAAGGCATGATAATCATTGTAAGGACACTTTCAAGTTCTTATTTATTATAACTCTCAAATCGGAAGGATATACATATAAACATAACTATTGAAATTGAAATAGAGCAATTTAGCATTTCGATGAGAAGAATTAATTGATTTTTTGAAATAAAAATTGACAAAATAACTAACTATTTACGAAATATTACTTGTTTGGTGATATCATTGTAATATTTAAATATTTAAATATTTCTTATCAGTTGAGAAAGAAATTGTTGCTGTTGATAAAATAGACATGAAGAATTAAAATAAAAACATATTGTTCCTATCTTTTTCCTTTATTTATTAAATGAGAAGTAGACGTTGACAACTTTCTTTTTTTCTCTTAATAAAACTATGATGTTTCTAGTGACATTTTTGTTCACATAAACGAGATGTACTCTAACACATCATTATTCTTTGATATTTTTCTACGTCATTTTGAAAGTACGAGAAAGCTCTCTGTGTATATATACATATTTTTTCTGCCTGTCGTTCATAAATAATGGAATAATTGAGTGATATGTAATTTAAATGAGAAAAAAAAGGAGTAACCGACTACATTCGGTGTCCATTATTCTAGTCATTCTTCTATAAATTATGAATAAACATTTTTATCAAATGGAAAAAAGTTTTCGTCGTCTGATATACTCAAAAGAATTATGCACGTAATTAGTTAATTTGTTAAGCAAAATCGGTAATCAAATTAATAATAATCTGCTATCGTTCAGTTATAATTGATCTTGCTTGTTTATTTCTTTTCAGACATGTCCAAGCTTTCTTTAAATCCCCATCTGGACAGTAAAGATGAGACAGTTAATCTTCGATTAATGAAAAGACGAGAATTACGTTTACAACGAATGAGAAAAATTAGTGATTCAGAAAAAACTCAATCATTAGATCGTCAATCAACCCGATTATCTTCTAGTCGAATGTCATCAACAAAAAATAACTCGTTAGATGAAAGACAAACGAGAAAAGAGAAGTACGATCTTTCGAATACAAGAACTAGTAGTATAAATGAACCAACACAGTCCACAAAGGCTGAGGTTTCTACCTCACCTCAAACTTTGTTGCCGTTAAAAAAAGAGACCGCATTAAGACCAGAGACAGCATTAAGACCAGAGACAGCATTAAGACCAGAGACCGCATTAAGATCAGAGACCGCATTAAAAAAAGAAACCGCATTAAAACCAGAGACTGCATTAAAACCAGAGACTGCATTAAAACCAGAGACTGCATTAAAACCAGAGAACGCATTAAGACCAGAGACCGCATTAAGATCAGAGACCGCATTAAAAAAAGAAACCGCATTAAAACCAGAGACTGCATTAAAACCAGAGAACGCATTAAGACCAGACAATCCATCTAATTCAAGCCAAAAGAGTGCATCGGTTTCAAAAACCGGATCAGAATTGAATGAAGAAGGATCGTACAAACATCAAACATCACATTCTTCACCAGTTAATTCAGATTCACACACAGATCGATCTGATGTTCCAGTATCGAAGGTGAAAATTCAACCTAAATCAATTACTAACAGCGCGTCTGTTGACAATGATTCAGTCTCTCGTAAAACTGCCATATTACCGTTAATAAGTGAGCAGCGCTCTCAATCTGAATATCTGCACGGTGAAAAACTAGTGCCATCTCGTAATGCAAGTATCATACCGTCAATGGTAAATGGCGATAGAAATTTTTATACGGTTTCAAATTATTCTACTCCTGTAAGTAGGACTCAAGAACAAACCAGTTTTCCATTTGTAGAGTCAGTACCACAACCATTCAATGTTAATAATTCTATACCTCCTCAGATTCTATTTCCCTTGCTTCCTCAACTTAAACGGGCAGTATCAGATCAGACGATGTACAATTCAAGTCAAATACATCCACCACCATTATCACAAAATCAAACGAATTTAAAAAAAACCGCCGTCTCGTATCTGTTTAGTCAACGTTTTATTCAATCTGACAATAATCATTCAAATAAAACAACAACACCAGAGCGTCTATCGGCATGGGATTGATTGTAACTTCTCTGTTTCTTTTCTGTAAATATTTTTATAGACAAAATTAATTTATTTTTTTTTGCATAGCTTGCTATTTTAAAATTTTTGCCAGTAACATTGTATCATCTTGGTGGTAATATTTTTGTACTAAAAGATCTCGAAAGTAAAAACCATGATTCGTTTATTTCATATTGTTTATTTCATATTATTTATTCGATTGTAGTATGAAAATAGACTGTCTCTCCCGTAAGGAAGATTTTTCACATGATAGAGAATGAAAATGAATTTAGAGGAAATTACAAGTCAATTCACGTTTGAGCGCAAAAAGAAATTTCTGTCTTTCTTATATTAGCTTCTAGCATTTGTCAACGATTGCTCCACAAATCTTAAATAAACACTTGAGTGACTCGATGAACATATTGTGAAACAACACACACACAGAATATTGTACTATATTAAACGTTGAGTTCGATTGAACTATGATTGAAACGGCTCACTCTCAGTTGAAATTCATTTTATATTCCCAGCTGAGATACAATTCGTATTTTATTAATGTATCTCAAATGCGAATCGAATTTTTGGCAGAAATAATTTAGTCCGACTTATGGATTGTAGTAGTATGTGACATGATAGAAATTCTAAAATACGAATTGTTTGAAATCAATATTCAACATAATTTATGGCGTACATACATAAAACAGCACAGAAAGGGATCTCTGCCATTTTATATTGTGAGAATCTTTTTCAACGTGTTAACAAAAATAACTCCGAATATTGGGTATGTACTATCACTAATTGCAGTTGCTATGTCATTTTAAACAATGATGTTATTACATGCGTGAATGAAATCCATACGTAGTAATGATGATGAAAATGTTGAAGTTAAGCTTTCTTTTGTTATATTTTTGTGGTAATTATCTTAATTTAGTAATTATCTCGTAGCTACGGATTGAAAGAAATCGATTTTTCAATATTAGTCAGTTCGATAAGTTCTTTGTTGAAATAAATTGGATTACAAATATCCAATATATCATCATTACTAGATTTGTAATAGTTCATCATTCATTAAACTACAGTTTCTCGATAACGCGAACTGTTGACACGTTCCTAGTTCAGAAACGAAAAGACAGCTCCATTCAACGAATAGAAACTGTAAACTGTCACAGGCCCAATCATCACGTTCGACACTAGCTATTTGAGTTCGATCATGTTTAATTATTAATGCAGCTACAAAAAGATATCAATCATACACTTGTACAGCTGTTATCGTTGTCAGAAAATAATATCCCTAAGTATTTTTTTGAATAATTCGAGGACGAAACGTGATAGCGAGAATTGTAGTTTTCGTCGTTTTGCAGCTAGACGAAACACTATTTTCTAAAATATGGCAGACAATACTTGAAAATAGAATTTTCAGTCGATATCACATCAGTTTTTGAATGACAAAGCTGAATGTTGTACATCGTTCAAGGTATCCTCTAAAAGTCAACGTAAGTCCGAGATGGTTAGCTAGAGCAGGTTAGACGCTAATTTTGCTGGGACCTACCTATAGGTTATTCAACGTAACCAACATAGGTTATCGATCACGCTGAGAGTTTTGGCAATGTATATTTAAGCTTGCATAGGTACAGAATTTTTCTGTAAATATAATAAACTCAATCTAAAATCTTGCATTTATTTAATAAAGATATTTCTGAAATTAAATATTAGATAACAAACTTACTGATCAACAAACATTTTATAACTGTCTTTATTTTTTAAACGATGTAATTAATATTTATAGAGTAATTAAATTATTTTTAGTTGATTAAATAACAACACATTGTATAAAGGATAACATCCAATTTATCGTTTTATTTTGTGCAAAAATGGTACATACGCTCGTCTATCATATGAAACATTTGTATCAATACAGTAGGCATATAATCACGCCTGAAACTTTTTTAAAATGCAAAAAACGTCATAAATCTGTCGATAACGAGGTACATAAGCACCCAAAATTGTTCTATTGAAAAAAATGCTACCTAATGTTATGACATCAATAACAATAAACTACAGACAGCATTGTACACTATACCATAAGCATTAAGACTCCCATCTCCATGAGAGATGACGATTTTTGTCAGAAATATTTGTCTGAAATTCATTTTGAGAAGATACATGACGTGACGCTCCATGGTGTCTAATAACAGAATTCACAGTGACTTGGCGTCTTGAAGATTTTTAGAAAATTTTTCGAAAAGCTACGAAACTGACTTTATCTAAAATCGTGCTTTATCCATAGCAAATCGAAACCGCGGATATTTCTAAGGATCCTAAATTGTAGAGCAAACATTTCTAATCAACATGAGATGTCTGACAGCTGTAGGTAATAGTTAAGATAAACATTATCGGATTTTTACTAATATCCTTAAAATATGTAGCATATATTGGCACCGTATCTTAAAAGCAATAGCTATATTTACAACGTTTGCTACTTTCTAGTATTTCTCTATAAAATTGTCACATGGAGAAGGTTTCAAACGGAAGATAAAATATTTTCCGTTGAAGTGACTTATTAGGCAAATCCCAATAGTTTTATAGGCTAGGAGCTAATACGGCCAGATTTTTTCAAACGAGGCATCTTCGAACTTTGTGTGAGCCTTCGTCGCCATAGTATAACACAGTCAATATGAAGAAAACGCAGCAATGCGGACAAGCGTGAAAAGATACGAGCAAGTAACGAATCGAACGACTAAAAAACATCCTTCTGAAAGGATTCACCTACTTTACAACCTGTTTCAAATTTTTGTAATAAATTGATATCTTTCTTTTCAAACCATTTATGCTTTTAGTATCTTATACGGTTAAGAATAAAGTTACCATTTCGATATATGTAGGCAGTTTCTCTATTACAGGTACTAATCTAATTAAGCAATGACACAAAACATTTCTGGACTTTCTATAGAGTATGTTGACGTAACTCATTTTTTTATACAGGTGAAGAATATAGTCAAATTTATCGTTACATCAGAATTTAGAGATAGACACAGAGTTTTTCATGAATAATGGATAACCATTTCAATTTTATGGATGAATCCAACATCACTTCTATATCATGCCTTTAACACTAGAACGCCCGAAAACTTTCATGACCTAGAACACCCAAAGCGGTCATTTTGACCGTTACTATTTTTTTTTAACATTTTATACTTAAAAATGGTTCTGAATTCAAAAATGAATTAAAAATTCTGCAAAAAATAATTTTTGTAGGATAAATTAAAAGTTATGACATAATTTATTTTTAAATAAATTGTATGCAGTTTGTTTTATTAAGAATAAAAATCACAAAACGGTCAAAATGACCGCTACGAGCGTTCTAGTGTTAATCAACCTTAAAAAATCCTTAAATGTTCTTGACATTAATTATGACAAAGATAGAACATTAAGTTGTCTTCAAATACACGAGCAAGAATATTTTATATACCGAACAGAGTATAATTGAAAATATATAAATCACTTATATACTTACAGTCAAAAAAATAAAATTTTCATTTCAGAATGGCATGGAATGTCCTTAAGAAAAAATAATGGAACAATTAGAATAGTTCGTTTTCAGTACAACTTTCAGAACTAGTTGTAATGACAGCTTGATCCCATAACTACTTTTCTTCGGATCGAAAAACAACTTCGATTTGCATTTTAATACGTGTTTTTCGACTTAGAAAAATTTGAAATAGGCTGTAAAGATAGATGAATCCTGTCAGAAGGGTCTTTTATAGTCGTTCGATTCGTTACTTGCTCGTATTTTTTCACGCTTGTCCGCGCCGCGTTGCTGACTTTTCTTCATATTGACTGTGTTATACTATGACAACGAAGGCTCATACAGAATTCGAAGACGCCTCGTTTCAAGAACAAACATTTTCTTTAAAGCGACCTATTAGGCAAATTTCGATAGTCTATAGACTTATAGATGTGAGGTAGTCGAGGACGGGGCCTGTGAATACAGCAGTTTGCAGCTTGTGTGCAGGCACGAGAGAAACTGTCAGCACTTGTTTTTTCATCAACGGAAAGCAAAATATTTACTCCTTAAAATAAAACGTTTCTCAGCTCTGTGTAAGCTTTCTTCTAAGCGCTGTGTTTGACAAAAATTAGCACACTTACAGAAAATAGATCGTTAGCTGGATAGACCGTTGGTTCCCTTTGTGAAGAGTACAAATCTGAGGTTAATAAAATATTTAACTCGTATTTGTAAAAAAGCAATGATTAAACTTTTCAAAGATAGAGATTTGTATTGAGCGACTTGTTGAGAGTTTCTGTTCAACCGACAACGTTCCTTGAGTTCCTACCATGTCAGAAATTTTTTTCACTCTCTTATATCATGCTGCTAGAGGCTAATAGAGCGCGAGTTCTGATATTTTGTGTTGAGGAGTTATGGAAGTATTGAAATCTCAAAGCTACAAAAACTGCTTTCCAAACTTTATAAAGAAAACTCGCGCATTCGAAAATGAAATCATCGTTTATAAAATTAATTAATTATGATACCCATATTGATGGTGAAAAAATCCAACTTTCCATGGCTTTTCTTGCCATACCAATTATTTTATAGCAAAATACGAGATAGATTTAGTTATTATAATAATATTCTTTGAGTGTATGCCAAAAAACTTGAAAAATATTTGTGGAGGGACTTCTGTAAGAACCGTTACCCATCCTTTTGGGAAACTAAGATGAATTGATTAACTTGTTAACTGCATTCTGAGATATTTTCAAGAGAAAAAAACTGAATGTGTATGAGTGAAAATTTTCTAGTTTAAGTGTTATTGAAATTAAAGTTTGACATTTGAAGTATACTATAACATTATGTTGTTGATGGTAAAACAAATACACTAACTACCGTAGTTCTTATCATATATAATCTTTTTCTTCTACTGCTCTCAACTGTTATTTACCTTCTTCGTTATCTATTGTTGATATAAGATGACAATGAAAAAGAAAGTAAACCAATTTTCTCATCAAGTGAAGGTTAAGTTGTCTATTACTCAGAACAACCGCTGTTTACAAAATTCACCGAAAAATCTATACTTCTAAGAAAATGAAAACTCTCCTAAGACTCTAATATTTCTGTGTGGTCAAAAAAAAAACTCTAGCTAGAGAGGGTAAGCACTTGTTATCTCTAATCTCAAATTTAGATTCCAAAAAAAGTAACAGCTACCAAATCTGTTAATAGGATTTTCTAAACGTTTCGTCAATATGTTTATAAGTACCATAGCTTTGCTGAACTCGATTACTGATTTGTTCAAAGAGCATAATTATTCGACACAATATGCTGAACAAATTAATTAATTTGGACACAAACTAGTTTGACTAACACATTAGTTGAAATAACAATAGTACCTTTTAAGTAAAACTTTTTTTTAAAAAAATATAAGAAAAAAATGCAATACACTATAAATTTAAAAACTGCTCAATTGCGGTGATAACTGGTTCGGGTTTTTCCACTAGAAAATTATGATTTGCATTTGGTATAATGACTAACGTTGAATTTTGATTATATAGTTTGTTGTAACGATGTCCATCTGAAATATCAATTACTGTGTCTTTATCACCCCAGATGATTAATATTTTGGGACAGTTTTCATCACTATTTATTTTTTGTGCAATTGGTTCCATTGTATCCCATGGAAAATGAATTAATGACGAATATAATGATCTCAAATAGCCTTTATGTTGACGATAACATTGTTTAAAATGTTCATTATACAACTGAAATAATTCACTGTTCGAATCGATCCATTGTGCTTTTGCACCTTTTTCTAAATTTAAAAGAAAACTTTTAAATATGGCGTCTACGGCTCGGAACTTGAGTTCAAAAGATGTAAGCTTTAGAGCATCTTGAAATATTGTCTCAAAATATAAACGTTTGTTCAAAACAGCGACAATTTGACATAGTAATACTTACTATGCAATGCAGAAGACCGTCAGACGTACGTTATTAGAAGGTAATCTTATTCAAGAGACTTACCCAAAAACGGAATGGATTTTTTGAAGACAAACGGTCCGATTACAGGTAATGATAGTAAAAGTGCTTTAATTCCTGTTGGACGATTCACATTGAGCCCAGCCGCACAACATAAGATCAATTTTGATACTTTTTCAGGATATAGTTTTGTAAACAATTGAACAATAACTCCACCCATACTCGCACCATATAAATTAAATGATTTATCAGTAATGTTTAATGAATATAACAATTCTACAATTTGATTAACGAATAATTCAGCATTCATTGTTATATCAGGTGCATCAGACCAGCCTAGAAATAGTAGCAGAAATAACTTATTCAAAAAAAGCACATACAAAACAGCTTTAAGAGTAAAACCTTTAGTTGCTAAAGCATCTGTTAGAAGGTTATTAGGAAGAAACCTCTTTCTAACTGCTCACTTTTGACGTCAGATGATTTTTTTTGTTGTATAACACAAAATATTTCCAATAGACTTTTATTAGATGAACGAGAAGTTGCAACACCCGCTCAACTTTTCTCCTGATTTTTGTGGTGAAAATGCGTACCTCGTCCATATAAATCAAATACTAAACATCGTTGTCCTTGTTTGTGCAAAGCTGTAGCCACATCACGCCATAATTCCATTGACACCGAAAACCCATGAACAAAAACATTTAACGGACTGTTTTTTGTTGCATTCGTGTCTAGATAAGAATATCGCACAACTCCGAATGATAAACGAATAAATTTCTCATGACCAATATTCAACTGAGTTCGACTTCTCTCATGGGCTTGTTCATACAAATCTGTATTCGTATCATAAGCCGAATGTTGCAGAGAAGAACCTTTTACGTTCGAATTCACAACACGTGTTAATGGTCCAAATGGAAATGTAAGCCAACAGTATAGCCACGATAGACACGCACATGCAGAATCAATGCTAGAAACGAAAATATTTGAAATGTGCTCTAGTACGCTCATTACGTCAAATCTAAGCTAAAAAGTGCTTCAATTAATTTTCATGTTTATCATCCTCATTGAGCTGATAGACTTCCTCGAAGTTTCATTATATCGAGATTATACAACTCTATTCAGTTTGACACGGTGGTCACTTGACTACCGAATCAGAATCTGAGACTATATCAACATCCAACAACACAATGAGGTTTCAGAACGTGGTAGTTTTTCGCCCTCCTCTAATACAATAATTAGACTGATATTATTAAAATGGACGAAAGAAGCTTTTCAAAAGCAGCAAAGCGTTACAATCAACGTCAATATCCAGAAATTGTATCAGTTGAGAAGTTTGACTCCTTAATTTCGCTCATGACACGTTATATCTTTATCGTAAAAAAGAACATGATATAATAGCAATAAATATAACTGAGTAAAATAGGAATCTGCGTTAGACGAACATATTCACACACAGTAAAAGATTTTTCTGCTTTTCTATCGATTGGACTCCTACAAAAGATTTTTTCTAAAAAACATGAGTTTACCAAGATCATGACGTGATAACGTGACTTTATAGCGATCGTGACGCGACAGTCATGAGTTTATAGTGATCGCGATCGCGTCGCGACTTAGGCGTGATCGTCGACCTGGGTAGTATAGTGCGATTTAAAATTTCTTCGTCAATGTGAAAAACAATTTACATGGCGATAGTAATTTATCCATGTAATGGATAGAACTGACCGAATGAGTTTACCATTTAGAAGAGCATGACTATTGATATCATGAACAAATAGTGTTCCTTTCCTTTTTTTGGATAACTTTCTCTTATCATTGATGATCAAGTCCTTGAACGTTTCGTTCAATGTGATGTGTGTATTAAAGACAACTATTATACAAGTAAAAGTTGATAATGGAGCAATTTTAAAAACTATCATTTTCTGTTATAAAAAGCAATAGGCCTCTAACAACAATTGTGAAATGAAAAAAGAATAGACATCTAACAAAGATGGGAAATGTAAGAAAATGTATTTACAATTTCTTATATTTTACATTCTTTCTCAGCTGACCAGAAGAAATAGCGAACGTAAAAAAAAGACGTCTCTATTTTTTTCTTTCCGTTCCATACACTGGTCTACGCACTTGTGGATATTCTTGCAAGATTCTTGTCTCTTGCCATTTCAAACAAGAATCCTCAATTTTTTCTTGATAGATCAAACAAGATTCTTCTTTTAATTTTTTTATCTTTTTCGTTAAAGATTCTTGTCTGAAGTGGCAAGATTCGTTAACGCCAAAATCACCAATTTGTTTTGTCAATTCCCGTGCTATATATAAGTTACATAATATAGCTCAATTCTATACACAGATGTCTTTAAAAAGTCTTTTAAATCTCATAAGATCCTTGTCGAGAGACAATCGAGTCTTTACGTGTGCCTGTACTGGCATCAGACCGTCCAGCTCCTATATATATGAAAAGGAAAGAGAACGAAAAATGGATTACATATGCATTCTATTTGTTTGCAAGATCTTTTTAAGAATTGCAAGACAACATTCTTGCAGGAAATCACTTTCTTGTGAGTTCATACAAGAATCGCGGGACGAATCTTGCCACTTCAGACAAGAATCTTTAACGAAAAAGATGAAAAATAAAAAATTAAAAGGCTTGTCTGATCTATCAAGTAAAGAAAAAATTGAGGATTCTTGTTTGAAATGGCAAGAGACAAGAATCTTGCAAGAATATCCACAAGAGCGTCGACCAGTGTATGGAACGGAAAGAGAAAAATAGAGACGTCTTTTTTTTACGTTCGCTATTTCTTCTGGTCAGCTGAGAAAGAATGTAAAATATAAGAAATTGTAAATACATTTTCTTACATTTCCCATCTTTGTTAGATGTCTATTGTCCTTCTATATAAGCACCAGGATGACTCGTAAGATGACAAAATGGAAAAGATCAATTTTCATTCTTTTTTCATTTCACTATTGTTGCTAGAGGCCTATTATCACGTGCTACCGGGCATTGTCAAACGTAAAACGATCTGAGAAAACTATGCATATCCTCTATACTATACACTACTTTGACAAGAGTCAACACACAGCAACTTATATTTTTAAATGTCTCCTTTTGAACAAAATAAAGATGCCATATTCGATACTCCGGGCAAAACTCCCACGGGACTCCTGTGACGGGGTCCTGCAGCAGTCAGGTGGGACTTTCAAGGGATATCTCAGGACTCCTGTGGAACTTTCGAGTCCTGCGGGAGTCCAACGAAAGTCCTCAGAATCCTCAAAGTTTCCGAGGAGCCTTAAGAAACCCCTTGAAAGTCCCACTGACTCCCGCAGGCCCCGGTGACAGGAGTCCCGTGGGAGTTTTGCCGGGAGTCTCGACTAGGGTGTCCATGCGACTCAACATTTTTCTTCTGAAACTATCAAATCGTCTTTTTTCTGGTCGCCAGTGACTGATTAAAATAATCTTCCACATTTACTGAATTCATCTTCTTCTCTCTCATATTTTAAAAGAAGATTGTTTTACTATATTTGGACAGTTAATTTTTATTCGTTTGAATTTATACGCATGATACAGTTCATTTTTCAACTTTTTTGCCATTTGTCTGTTTTTTATTTTCTTGTTTATTATTCTCTTCTTCACTCTATATTCATTTATACTTGTCTTATATATTATGTATATGCTTATTCTTGACGGAATCAGCATATTTTAAACCTGTGATGAACTTTCATAATGCAGAAGTTTGACTGCATTTTATTTGCTGTTGTTTAGATAAAAAAACATGAATCATCATATTGTCTGGGCAACTACATTGACTGAGAGAGCTTTAGAATCAATCAGAAATTTGATAAAATATTGCGCCAATTGTAGAAAAAGTGAATGCCCACTAGAATGAAGTTATAGACAGATCGAATTGATTTTTAAAGACATCTCATAGTGCGTCTGAAAGCTAAGTAGACTATTCTAAAGTAGTAATAAATATTATTTTGACCTATTTTTTACGTTCGCTGTTAAATACACAGGTAGATAATAGATATTTACCAATTTCTTCACATGTAAGTTGAAGAAATTGTTTCTGTTCTATTCTTGTCATTAAAATGTTTCTGTATACGCGCGACTATTTTTTGAAACTATTGAAATGGTTTGGAAACATTGTATTTATTTCATTGACCATCACCATGTTCGTACTTAATATGATCAAGTACCATGAGTATGTTCAACGAGACGATTATTCTATTAACTTTAGTTACTTTACTATACATAAAAATCCGTTAACACAAAACTGTTCTGACAGCACCCTAGCATCCCAAACAATCGCATTAAACACCTATGAATGGCTAATAAGACACAAAGAACATAATTACGCATTTCATGTCTTATTTTGGTTGATGACTGTATTTGCGTTACTATCGAATATTGGACCAGCACTAGTGTATATAGTTCGATTTTGTAAAATGAGTGAAAAAGATCATTATAGACAAACACAACGTAACTGTTTATCATACACCATACAATTTGTCAAGTTACTCTTGCAGACAAGTGCATTTATCGTACCAAGTTATTATATGCATGTCTTCAATTATTCTACACCATGTTTAGAAATATATTCTGTTCAAACATGGTGGCCAATTCGATTACTACCATTTGCCGTTGCATCCACCGGTTTTCTAATCGTGTTTTTCCTGCTGGATACATTTTTAAAAGCACAGCACATAAAATGTTGTTCATCTGAAGCATTGTCCTATTGCAGTATGTTTCTCATTTGTATAATGCTCTTTTGTGGTCTGCTTTTCTCATTTGCTGTGGTCGGCGTCGTCTACGTTTTATCCTTCATGCGCAGCGCATTACGAGTAGCACCTATTCTATTCACAGTTCAAGTACCATTTATTATTCTACAGCTGTTAGCTGAGTGAATAGTGAACTGATATGGTTTGATTGTTAGAGGCGAGACGTGAGATGTCTCTCTGTTGTGTTCCATTGAGAGTGATAGCTTCGAACGTACCACTCCTAGATATGTTTTTGGTAAATGTAGTAGGCAGTCACAATAAATGTTGTTTACAAAGTTATCATTGCGGGAATCTGAAACAGCTGACATGAAACCATGAAAAGTCAGATGGAAAATCATGGCTTCTCACGAGCTCACAAAGTGAAGCTTTGAGAAATAGAAATTGCAGGCTTCGTAAACGTCCCACTTTTCTATAAAACTGTCCTACTATGTCTTCCTTTCTGGATTTTCTCCTACTTTTCCTACTTTTTTAATTTTCTGTATTTTTAGTAAATTCACAGGCAAAAAGACATTTTTCTCCTACTTTTCACTAATGAACCTTTTTAGTTTCCGTTTAAAAACTGCACATGACTCAATGCTAGCTACTCATATCAAAACTTGATATAAATTCTTTTCTCCTAACCGTCTAAAAATCATATATAAATCCACTCAGGGTACCTTTCACGAGCTTGTCTAACTTTGTTTTTAAAAACATCTATTTTAAACGGTTAGGAGAAAAGAATTTATATCAAGTTTTGATATGAGTAGCTAGCATTGAGTCATGTACAGTTTTCAAACGCAAAACTAAAAACGGTTCACTTGTGAAAAGTAGGAGAAAAATGTCTTTTTCCATATATAATACCCATTTTCCCGCCATTTTCACAAAGTTAAATATTTTTTTTTCCCACTAATCTGAGCTGATGAAGATAAAAAAGGCACGCCACCAGATGTAACTTTCAATGCTCTATTCAACCATATGTGAATTATTGTATTTGGTCAACGGATCAAAACCGAGGAGAAAACCAGTAGAAGGCGGGTTTCAAATACAGTGCTTGTCGTAAAGCGCGTGCAAAATCATAAAAAAACATCGTACAGGACTCCCCGACGTCTCATTTTGTAGGAATATGTTTGCTCTACATCGTTAATGACTCAAAAATGGTTTGTACGTCCAGATCTTTGAAATTCGTATCAAATTCTAGAAAAGTAAGAAAATGATGAAACCTATGCCTGTCTCCAATATTTGATTTATAGTACATCATCCTAGTGTTTTAAAATGTTCTATTACATATAAATCGATACAGAATTGCCTGCTCTACAAAATGAAGTAAGATTTATTTTGGGACCGCTATATGCATCGCTTATATTTAAAAAGTATTGAGAAAAATGCAAATTTACAAATGTGGAATATCTTAGTTTTCTATTATTTAGTCCTAGATAGTTAAACATATTATTATGTCTAAATATATGATCTTACAGAGTAAACATTTCTCTTTCAAATGAGCTATGAACGAATCACAGGAGATTGATAGTTTTTTAGAAAATCGGAAAATACGAAAATTTGTGAATATTCACGTTTTTTTCTTCGAATGAGAAATAAATAAAAATAAAATAAAATATTCCCCGGACAGCATGGTCGGTGCTGTAGCGGAGCTTCTCTTAAAAGCTAAAAGCTACTTTACCTACTTTTTGATATAAATCCTACCATAACGGACTTCAAAATCCTACTCCTACTCCTACTTTTTGATTTTTGCTATTACGAAGCCTGATTTATGGTTAAAATATGGTGAGGCTCATTTATTATGAGACACCTGCTATCACCGATCAGAGGAAAAATGCTCGCTAGACCTCCGCACACGATTTTACTGAAAGTACTCAAGACCTATCTCAGAAGTGTTTTTTATTTTGAAAGTTTGAGGGAAAAGGGTGAATTCTAGTCCTTTATATTTTGCGACGTAGAATAAGAGAAGATGACCATTTTGCAACCCTTGAAAAGCTCTGTCAACTGGCTATGGTTAAAACTCTTCATAATCGCAACGAATTGCGGGCGAATATTTTGCTTTTATGGATTTTATCAAAAATCGCTGTTTTCAAACTGTAGCTTTGGCGGCATTTGGGAATACTTTCTTAAAATCGGTGAAAATCAAATATTTGAAAATCTGGCTTGTCCTACCTTAAAGTAAAATAATTCTTCCGTTACATCCGAACAGAGGATGTAGATAGAGAGGAAGTTCGCTAGGTTCATTTCCTTTGCAGTGACAAGACGAACAGCTGAAAATTTTCCTTTTTTTAGCAAGCTGTAGTAAAACTGCCTTTTGTGTCAGAAAAACATGTTAAAAGTCAACCTCTGATACACGAAAGGAAACCCAACACCAAGAAATATTCTTTTGTTGTTTATATAATCCCTCATCAGTACTAGATCACTCTAGAATTCTTATGATATATGATCTTTCGCTACATCTTAAAAGAAACCTCTTCTAAGGTTAAGAAATACAAAGAAATTTAGGATCCAAAATATAACTAACAGAGGATGCAATAAAGATGTGCGTGACAGTCATGGTGTTACTGTTACCATACCATTTAGGAAAACACTGACCATGGTAGTTCCTACTAGGAGAAATATAGAAACAATTTTGTCACTAAGGTTCTGGTTGATAAAAGATTTTGTCATTTTGTGCTCTCAAAACATATACATGTGCGTGAAAAATCTACGTCTGAGCGCTAGGACAACTGCAGAAAGGGAAAAGCATAAATATGAGCTCTATCATCACTACTTTCGAAAAACACTTGATATAAGTTTTGAAAAAGATTTTCTCATGACCACCGAGACCATTTTGTACCATTTCTGAGTGACCGTTCACGTGATCAAAAGCGCTTGTTCACGCACATCTTTAACATCTCCACTGACTAAAGTAATCTCTAATGCACAGTAGTATTAAAGTAAACTTCGCTTTTCCCCCTTACATATGTTTCTGTGACCACCATTAGAAGGATGTCTTTTTATAGTCTCTTCAGATGTGTACATCTGTTGTCTTCCCTAAAAAATCTCACAATAAACGGCACCTAGAGACACATAATATACAGTAACAATGGTAGAACTTGGTCCTCTGTTGAAATAACTTTTTTTATTCTAATTAGCTTGTAATACCAAAAAATATATGTGTTAATGAAGGAAAATGATGAGGTTTGCTGGTTTCCCAACGAGTAAACATCTACATCAACGAACAACAAAAACCGAGCTACATACAAATCGATCAAAGACATCAAAATGTTCACTGGTTCATATAACACATGTTCAAGTTGTTTGTACTATTGTTTCCATTACAGTCGGAATCTTTGCATCGCGCATTCAGTATACAGTTGACAGTATCTGAGGAGTAGTCAGTCGTCCACGTCCGAACTAGGAATATGTTTGAATCAAATACTCATCGAACTTAGCACCTATTTCCTTCCGATCTGTTTCGTTCGTTTCACTAAGCCAGTGTATTGTATTATATATTACCGTTTGCAGCGCGAATTGATTGTTCACCATCCTGATTTTATCCACTAAGTTACATTCTTGAACACTATCATAAAACAGTCTAATAATGGTTTTCGCTCTCTCCAGGCTCATAAAACGTGGCGTCATTCT